TTTTATGTAAAATAAATATATTTTATTCAACACACTGCACTTGGGTTAAGATGGCTTTGAACACCGCTAAAGGATCAACAAAAGGATTGCCTTTGTAGATGACAGCTCAACTAAGCAGAACAAAGGTAACATAAATATAAGAATCATTTTACAAGTGACTTTTTAAGAAACTTGAGAGAGTACATAGCCCAAAAACTGTGAAATCATTTTAATTCGTTGGTAAGAAAAATGTTGTTGGTTCACAAGGACGTTATTTTGTAAAAACTTTTGTATTCAGATTTTCAATGAAAAAATATATAGACAAAAAATTGTTCATGGGGATGTAAATTCATGAATAAGGATGACCCACGAAATACTCGAATATTGACCCATCACGAACAATGATGATCTCACAGTAGCCTTTTGATTGCAAACTCTGGCAAAATCATTATCAGAATCAACTACCGTATTTACTCGCCTATAAGTCAGTATTTTAGGAGTTCAATTTTTGTTTAAAACTCTATGTCCGACTTATAGGCGAGTCATGAAAAGATTGGTATTTTTCTTGAGGGCTAGATGTAGTACTTTATAAATATTTCCTACGATTATCGTTGAACAAAGTCTGGTTATATTATACCATATATGTATTTGAACACATGAAAAGATATTCAGATAATTATTTTAATAACTTTATTTTTATCTTAAGTGTGCATTACTTATTTTTGTTGTGATGTAAAAATCACATAATTATCAGCCTCTTCCTTAAGGGGGATGTACAAGCCATATTGGATCTAGTCTGGTGTAAAGTAAGAAATACCAAGAATGCGCTTAATACTCTACTAAACTAGCCCAAAGTTACTCAAAGTGCTAATGCACTAATTACCTACTGTTAGAGACCAAAATTAGTAAACAATTAAGTTTATTTTGTTTTAATTAGGAGGAAATTAATCATGTTAGAACTGCGCAGCTACAGCATTTACGAGATGATAAATGCCTTGAAAATGGTGTTAGTTTGATTGATTGATAATATGGCTACAACCATTTGTTTCGCTTTTTTCTTGCCATTATCCATAATTCTTGAAAATTTGATTTTTCATATGGGTGTCTTCCTGAGGCAATGTGTTTATTTCGTCCGCCATTCCTCTGTCATACAGAGTTCAAATAACATTGATTTTATAATAAATGCGACCATAATAACATCAAGACAAGAAATTACTAAGTAATAATCAATAGGTTATATTACTTACTACTTTTATTTGTTGCATCGCATCATCTGATTAATGAAAAAATGTGATTTTAATCCCACTCAAGCAAATCGGGAAAAACTGTTCTGTTTAAAGTTCGAGTTTCCTCGTTAAAATTATTCCACTGAGCACGTGGTTGGCATGTGCATATATCTGCTGTGGATAGATTCGTTTATTACCATGATTATATTAAATTTTTCACGGAACAAGTCTTGATAATTTGTTGGTTTCTTTAAAACTCAAGAAAAAAAGATATAAATGTCCTAAACATATGTGTTTACGGCGGGACTTTTTTCTGTGGCGATAGAAGTTATTTTCAAATGGGGCACTGCAAGGAGGATGCTTAGCATTTGATTTGAAAATGTTAAACAATATGCGGTGCATGAAAAACAAATTGTAATTACATGACTTACATTCGAAAATTGGTACATATGTATATTTTGTTTAGAAGTTAGATAGAAAAAATAGGCAGTTATAGGATTTCCTTCAGGCACCTCACATAGATAGCTAGATTGTTTGCAATTGTATGGAGTAATGTTTGGACATAAAAACGCATCATGTCTCATTATGTTCACAACGTTGTAAGCTCTCGCTCATTTAACATACGAAGCTTCATAAAATATATTAAGTTGTTTCTTTGAAATTTAGAAGCGAGTACACTGTTTGCAAAGAAAGGTCCATTGCATATGCTATGTCTATCATCACAAAAAAAGTGAGAGCCCCCCCCCCCCCGAAAATCCTATGTTTGTTTTTCAAAATAGTGCAAAAGATTCAAAAATTTCGCATTACTAAGTACGTGATGGAATATGTACTAGCCTTATAAGACCACTTGTTATAAAAATATTTGGTTGCTCTCTCTCCCGATCTACTGCCTGGAAATGGCCCAACTCATTTTTTTACATCCCATTACACGATATTTTTTTCTTTTTCTTCCGTCAACAATTATGTTTGAATTTTAAGGAATTTCTTTCTCACCTATAAATACGGACCCAATAATTTTTCCCTGAGTTGGGAGGACCACCAAACGTCATTTTAAAGATGGTATAAAATATCTAATTATGTTGATTTTTTTTTTTACTTTGTAAAATTTTAATTTTGAAAATATGGACAAATAGAATTTTCGTCACAAGTACCTGCATGACGTCATTTTCAGATTGAGACATCACAAACAAGGAGCAAAACTTCAGCATATGCTACAATGAAGCGCATTGAAGTGGTAAAATTTTCTGTTTGGATGGAACGTTTTGAACTATCTTTAGACACGCCCATTTCTTTAGAAAGGAAAACTCGGTCAAATGATTCAATCGAATACCTGTAGAACAGGTATTTCATAAATATAACATCCAATGAAATTGACGGTTTACATAAACACGGAGTAAGCACGTGTTCGACTGATACATGTGCTATGCTAACTCCAATAAACATGATAAAGTCATAATTATGGACAAATTCGTTGCAATGCGTGTTTTACATAAGCGGGAACTCTATACATAGCTCTTTCTTATTTAAAACTCTTAATTTCAATGTAACTCATGTTGCTTGTCGCGGAAAGTGTAGTGTCCTAAAACATTACGGTGGATATTCCTTTCTCGTTTCTAAAGAAATGGGCGTGTCGTTATGTTATAATTGACGTTCAAAACATGACTCAGAACGTTTCGTCCAAATGGAAAATTTTACCACTTCAATGCGCTTCATTGTAGTTATAGAACTTGTGTTTGGCTATGTTTCTAATCTGAATTGTGGTTTTGTAGATATAGAGATAGTTCGAACTTTTTGATCACCCCTCGTACTAGTAGGTATTAAAACAAGGTCATTCATATCGATTATATGAGTCTTATTTCTTTGTGTTTCATAGGTGATAATTAAAATTTTGATAGATAATATACTAATAAGTTATCTATGGCAAACTTACAAACTCTTAATTTTTAACTTTGATGGTGCTTAGTTTTCCTTACCTGGAAAGACTTTAAGATTTTTTTATATCAATACGTACACTATTTAACAACTGTTCGATAATAATACTAAATGAATTACTTCAAGCAACACTATAACACCTTTCCTCTTTTAAAAGTGTTCATATTATTTGAAATATTTTGCAACTGTAATTCTCTTCTACATTTAAAGATTGTTATGTCCCTCCATATTAAGAAGAGGTCTGGAAAACAAAATTCTGTGCTAAAAATAGACCACGTGCTGCTATCCATGAACTACTTTCATGGTTCTTTGCACTCTTTTTGAAGACAACGGTACCTTGTCTTGAACTTGAAATTATCATTTAAAAGTGCAAAATTTAGACATTTTCTCAACAAATGGTTGTAGAGAGAACATTAATGCACAGTTTGCATATTTTTTTGGATTTTTTAAGGCTCTGCTGAATTCTGTAGCTGCGCAGTTCTAAAGAGCATATCAAAAGCATTTTTCTGCAAAAGTATAGATTATATATACACAACATGCATTCAGTTATGCATATTTATTGTATCTTTAACATAAGGACTTAAAATTTGATCAAAATATAACGTATTTTAGCCATTTGAAGAAATGTTTACATTTTGTTCTCACTGCACTAAAGGTGGCCGGACATCCCCCTTAAAATATTAATTAAAACCAGGTCAAAAGATCAGAGCATTGATTTGCAATAATCAACTTATTCTAGCAAAAAGTTCCACTGACTTATAATGGCAAATCCTCCAGAATAACCTCAAACAATACAACCGACTTATAGGCGGTCCAAATTAAAGGCGAGTATATGCGGTATTCAAAGCATAAATTCACATGTCTATACCTCTAAATTTAACCTTCATTTATATTTCATATTTTAATGACATTCTTTATTCAAATCAGACCAAAGTTTTATTTTTTGAAGAACTGTAAACAGACACTTAACCTCTGAACAATTAAGCTTTAGAACCTGTTGTGGTAATCAGAGATGAAATCTGACCTGAAAATTTATAAGACACATTTTGACTTATACATCTGAGCCACTGCGTAGGACATGTTGTGTCTGATGTTGATGTTCTGTCGATCAAAGACCATTATCACGGCTCCTTGTTATCAGGAACAATTTTTTTTATTCATTTAAACAAAATTTTAATTTTTAATATAACAATGCCCATAGCTCCACTTTACTCAAGAGAGTCGGGGGCTAAAAATTGGTAAAACTTGAATTCCCTCTAATGACTGTGTCAGAAACCTTCATTTTTTTCTTACCCTAAACTGTGATTCGTAGAAAATGTTTAAGATACAATCCAATTTTTGTCTTTATCTAGAACCCCCCCCCCCCCGAAATGGGACTTGTTCTTTCATTTAAATAAAATTCCAATTCACGTAAGGATTCCCTACGCTATTAGCATTTTTGATATTAGCCCAGTGTTTCTGGATATAGGGATTTTATTGTAAAACGTTTATTATAACATCTGGCAATGAGCAAATTTCGATCAAAAATGTCTTTTGCTCAGGTTAGCCTGACTTTTTAAGGAACATTATTTTGATATTGGTGCGTTTTCTTTTTTTCAAAATCAAAACAATAATTATTGCTATTTCCATACATGAATGATTACCAGTTATTCAAGTATACAACTTAAACATAACAATGATCATCTGGCTGATTTCTTTTTTATCAGATAATACTCTTTTGTTTATTGATAAAGCCACACTATTCTAGCCACGCCACTCTTCAATCCTGTCTGTGCAAGTTTTACCACAAATCCACAAAATGCACTGGATTAAAAGCACCCTCGTGGTACTTCTGTGCACATTTTTGAAAGCAGAGAGTTTGTTGTTCCATGGCCAAACAAATGGTACTTCTGCATCTAATGGACACTCCGATCCGGATGTGTACAAACAACTTCTTCATCTAGAAATAGTGTTGGATTCTATACTGATGGATCAAAAACAACAAGCTCTACAAATTCAGAAATCAGAACAACAGCAAAAGTTATTAGAGGAAGAGATTCAGACAATGAAGCAGTGGAATCAGACAGTGTTGAATTCTATATTGTTGGATCAAAATCAACAAGCTCAGAGGTTTGAGCAACATCAAAAGTTATTAGAAGGAGAGATCCAGACAGCCCAAATGCAGATAGAAAGTGAAAACAAAATCTTAAAAGAAAGACTGGACAACTTGAATACTTCATCCACTTCATCACAAGACGCTTGCCTGGATGAAAAACTGAATAATCTGAATTCAACATCAACATTTCTGCTTCAAGAAAATATAATTTTGAAAGATCAGCTTCAGATTTTGAACTTTACTTCCATGTTAATACAACAAAATTTGACCACATCAGAAGACATAAGAAGGCTGAAGAACATCCTTACCTTTTAAATTGAGCAGACTGTCAGAGACAGTGAACAGAAAATCATAAAGAACATGTCTGTCACAATCACCGACCTGGAACTCCGAGACCGATATTTATCACTTTCTCTTCTGGACGTACACAACCACACAGCAGCATTATCATCATCCCTTTCCAGTTTGGATGCACGGCAAAACCAAATGAAGAGTGAAATCCAAATACTGATAAATTCGCAGCAAAATGACATCACCAAACTTAATAATACAATTATCAATCTCAAAAATCGTATGTATATAGTAAAGAAATTTATTTTAACTAAAATTCAATTGTTTCAAACAATAAAGTATCATATTATCAAATACATGTATGTATATGCAATATTGGTAGAAAATATACTGTACACGTATTACATTTGGCTGAGTATTCTTTTTATTGCCTTCGAACGTTTGAATTTCAATTATTTAAAAAGCATGAGTTTTCAACTTTTACACCAGTTTCATTTTTAGCTCACCTGAGCCGAAGGCTCAAGTGAGCTTTTCTGATCACATTTTGTCCGTCGTCCGTCCCTCTGTCTGTCCGTCCGTCCGTCTGTCCGTCTGTCTGTCCGTCTGTAAACTTTTCACATTTTCGACTTCTTCTCAAGAACCACTGGGCCAATTTTAACCAAACTTGGTACAAAGCATCCTTGGGTAAAGGGAAATTTAAATTGTTAAAATGAAGGGACATATCCCCTCGCAAGGGGAGATAATCAAGAAAAGACAAAAATAGGGTTGGGTCATTAAAAAATCTTCTTCTCAAGAACCACTGGGCCAGTAAAGCTGAAACTTATGTGGAAGCATCCTGGGGTAGTGTAGATTCTAAATTGTTCAAATCATGACCCCCGGGGGAAGGGCGGGGCCACAATGGGGAATCAAAGTTTTACATAGAAATATATAGGAAAAATTTTTGAAAATCTTCTTCTCAAGAACCACTGGGCCAGAAAAGCTGAAACTTATGTGGAAGCATCCTGGTATAATGTAGATTCTAAATTGTTCACATCATGACCCCCGGGGGAAGGGCGGGGCCACAATGGGGAATCAAAGTTTTATATAGAAATATATAGGAAAAATCTTTGAAAATCTTCTTCTCAAGAACCACTGGGCCAGTAAAGCTGAAACTTATGTGGAAGCATCCTGGGGTAGTGTAGATTCTAAATTGTTCAAATCATGACCCCCGGGGGAAGGGCGGGGCCACAATGGGGAATCAAAGTTTTACATAGAAATATATAGGAAAAATCTTTGAAAATCTTCTTCTCAAGAACCACTGGGCCAGAAAAGCTGAAACTTATGTGGAAGCATCCTGGTAAAGTGTAGATTCTAAATTGTAGGAATCATGACCCCCGGGGGAAGGGCGGGGCCATTATTGGGAATCAAAGTTTTACATAGAAATATATAGGAAAAATCTTTGAAAATCTTCTTCTCAGGAACCACTGGGCCAAAAAAGCTGAAACATATGTGCCCATGGAAGGATCATGGCCTAGTATAGATTTCAAAATGTCTAAATTATGATCAGTGGGGTATGGTGGGGATGCATTATGTATAACAAGGGGGAAATCTGGTAAAGAACAGAATGATCAAAGCTTCTCAGGTGAGCGATGTGGCCCATGGGCCTCTTGTTTAGAAAATCACAGGGCAAAATTTGTATGGAAACCATACCTTCTTCTTAAGAGTGTACATGTAATACAAACATCTTTCCCTGTACTGATAAAATTTCAAAGTAAATGTACCTAACTATGACCTGAACAAAAATGCATTTGCAGTACTTGTGTATTTTAGGTGTACAATCCAATGTAGCTTTTACAGCTGGGGCGAATACTGGCCATACATATGCAAGTGGAGACACAGTTATATTCCCAACAGCCATATACCAGGTGGGAGGAGGATACAACCCTACAACAGGAGTGTTTACCGCCCCCAAAAGCTGGACTGTATCTTATATTCTGTACCAATGTGGCAAATTACTATAAATCCTTCTGAACCCAAATTATTATTAATGGTCCACCTAAGGTTGGTGTCATGGCTTATCTTGAAGGATATGTAACTGTCTATCAATCAGCCTCCAACCTTGTTGTCCACCAGTTACAAATGGGAGATCGAGTCTGGATAAAATTGTATTATGGTAGTAGTGTTTACTCAAAGTTAGAAGATACAACCTTTTCCGCCATCATGATTAATGGATCAGACTAAAACTACCACAATATCTGTAACATGATTACAGTTCATCAGTGCCATTTAAGTATTTTATACCTTCTTGACACTTACTACTTTGAGAGAAAAAAAAGCAACTCAAATCAGTAACAATAAAACATGAAATATGAATGAACATTTACTCAAAACCATTAACTGTGATGCTTCTTATATTACTTAATGTTAATTCATATGATTACATCATGATTGTATATGTACATGTATATAGTATCACTATATCCATTAAATGTTTAGATGTGGCTGTAATTGCAAATCATTTGACTTGAATCAAGGTTATTTTGTTGACACCTTTCAACTTTGCCCTTTAAGATCTTCTTATAGACTTAGAAATAGTTTTTGATGTGAATGTTCAAAGATGTGTACACCTTTCTTGGTAACCTAGATCCGTGGTTCCATTGCCAACAATGGTTTGGAAAAAACTATACTGAAATCAATCAAGAAAGTTTTTTTCTTCAAAAATCATTTTTTTTTAAGGATGAATTGATATAATCTGTAATAAGACTTAAGAGACTTAAAATCAATTATTTTTCACTTGATGTGAAATTAATTCCATCCTATAGCTTTGAATTAGCTGGAAAACTTCGAAAAATTGTTTTTGGGCCGGATAGGGGAAGCCTTATAGTAAAATGCGTTATAATGCAGTTACATATATAGGTGTGTACTACCAAAAAAAAAGATTTGCTTTTTATGAAGTGTCAACTCTAATTCTGATCAATTTTCGTCCTGATGAAAAAATATTGAGAACGACAGCATACATTCTCACAGGGTCCTAAAATCCAAAATCAGAACACTTCCCTTACCCTAAAATTTTAAGCTAAGTGTCTTGACACCACGTAAGAGAAGCTTCAAAAGTAAAGTACCGACCAGACCCAACCTGACACCCAAGCAGTCCCCGGGACTGCTTTGGGGCCGCTCTGGGACTGCTGTGGGACCGCTGTGGGACTGCTCCGGGACCGCTATGGGACTGTTTGGGACTGCTCCAAAAATCAGTCTCAGCTGTCCCTGGGACTGCTTTCTGGGACTGCTTTGTTCACTCATGTGTGAAAAAAAGGTTCTGAGTGACATGATAGCTCCGCCCCCTGGTGTATTCTGAATTTGCAGACTCCCAGTTGTTTTGTTTACTAGCAGCAGAGAGGAGTTTAAACTATTAAAAAAGCAAGTATTTCTTACAATCTTTTGATAAGTAAAGATTATTATAGTTGATTAACATTTTCAGAGACTGTATCTTTAAACAAATGTAGTTTAGAATATTTTTTTTGAAATAAAATTGTTCAATAAGGAAGTCAGGAGTAGATTTTTATCCTTAAAAATAAACTACAAATTTATGAAAAAAAATAAATATATGTAGGCCTATTTTATTATTTAATGTAAAATTATATGCACTCAAAATTTGTATTGGCACTATCTAAAAATAATTATTACAGTTAGATATAAGATTTTTTTTATTGAAAAGCTACATGTTTTACGAGTACCACGCTAAAAAAGTATTCCATACAACCTCCAAATAAAGTCTAACAATTTATTAAATGACCATGAAATAAAATTAATAAATGCTACTATTCTTCCGTAACTTAAACTTTGTGAAACAATGTGAATACTAGTAATCATCGGGGAATTTATTAATGAACAACGGGTAGTTTTTAATCTATAAACAAATTACCAAAAGAGTACATTTATTTTATAAATAAACAGTTGAAAATACCGGGAATTGTGATTTATTTCTTTTTTGTTTTGCTTGTGTTTTCCTGGCCGATTAATGTTGACAAAATGGTATCAACATCCGCGGTTTCAATCGCCTTAGGGCAGAAATCAGTGCATGTTATTTGGGTATCAGCATTGCACATCATTGAACATGCTGGTCAACAATGACCCTAATTTCAATCTACTGATATGTAATGCACAAATAAATTGATAAATGAAATGTGTATGATTTCTTTCAGGATTAATTAATTTTGAACATAATCTGAGGGTTCCTTTCTGGTGATTTATAGATGTACATTCTAACATTTACAAATAAAATGCTTAAAACTGAGTATTTTAAAGATAGAAAAATTAACAATAATTAGATTGACATGTCAGTAAAAAAAAATCATGACTGAAAAATAATACTTGGCAAAATTTAACAAAGAATTTTCTTAAAGTCCCGATACTTAAGAAAATTCCTTTTGAGTATCCCGATAATATGGAAATTAGCCATATAATGATAAGATCTATTTAAAACTAATTCTTACTGGTGGAAAATAATTAATTCACGTTTAATTTTCTGTGTAAAAAAATATGGGAAACAGTATCAATCACAGCAAATTAAGAAATTGAATTATTAATATACCCGATAATTGTCATTATGAATTCATGTTCAGGTTAATTCATACATGTAAGTGTGAAAGCCTTCTTCCTGCAATAGATATTATTTCAATTTGTTTCTATGCGCGTACTGTTCATAAATGACCTTTGCATACATGTAAGGATTCCTGGCATACTACCCAGAATCAATTTCTAATGCCTTATATAGTTCCATTGTTTATTGCAAATCTCATTTCTGAGTTAGCTCCGCCCATTAAATTAATAAACCCTGCCCTATGGGACTGCTCTCTGGGACCGCTGGGACTGCTGTGGGACTGCTCTCTGGGACCGCTGGGACTGCTGTGGGACTGCTGTGGGACTGCTCTGGGACCGCTGTCAGTGTGGGACTGCTTTAGCAGTCCCAGAAAGCATTCCCGGGACTGCTTAGTGTCAGGTTGCGTCTGGTTGGTACTGTACATGTATCTTATGATCACTACAACTAGAGACAAATATAAACATGTACCATAATATATATGGGTATCAATATCTCTAATTTTACTTTAAATTCCATACGTTTCGTTTTAAAATATTTTTTTTGTGAATTCACTGGGTAGAAAAAAGTACTATTTAGAACAGGACAAAACAGAGGCAAAGATTATACAAACCGAATTAAGACCTGGCGACGTCCCTGAATACATAAATAACAGAAGTTCATAACTGTTTGAAATATCGAGATTTCTCTTTAGCCCTATAATTTATTTTTCAAAATCTTGCGTTGTTTCAATTATATCGTTGTTTGATTGTGTATTGTTTAACGTCCCTCTCGAGAATTTTTCACTTATATGGAGACGCAACCACTTGCCGCTTGAGCTGCAAATTTTGTCCTCTACTCGACACTTCGGGCCAATGAGCAGTGGGGGGTCTTTTTCGTGCCAGCACCTGCTGCGACACGGGACCTCGGTTTATAAATACGGTCTCGACCACTTTTTACTTTACTTTATAAGAAATTAATGAATAGATTTTTTAAATTTAGAAATTGTACCCCAATACATTATAGAATTATTAACTTTAGATCGAAACATAATAGTAATATTTGTCTCAGGATTTTTTGTTTAAACAATTATAGATTGGTGTGCCCGGTTGACAGGGAACGCTTACTCCTCTATAGCAACTGATCCAACCTCTGCTTTCAGAGGACAATGTTGGCTCTGCTCATATATGGACTTTTTAGAATGACTTCTATTTGTTGTCTTGTCATTTCATTCATCAATAAGCCGACTGCTACATCATATATTTCACCATGAATTGCATATTTTATATACTCTTTTAAAACTACATCATATAAGCTATAACTTATAGACAAGTCAAAAATTTTAAAATGTGGTTGATGGAATAGCAGTTTATTTAACATATGTCATATGAAAAATAGTTTCATAATTATTTTTAAAAAATCTGAAGCCATGAAGAATGTAAATGAGATAAATGTAAATGACATACAAATAATAAAATATAATATGTCAATTAGTATAATGAACATAAGCGACAAATTTAAATTCTTAAGGTAATGCAACCCATTTATCAACTAATAACAGTAGCTACACATATAAATAACATTTTCCCCATAATACATTCCCTCTATTAGCTATTAAATTCTCAGAAGCTTGAAATAAACCAACACAGCAGACCTGCCTACCCTTTTCATTGCAAGGGTGTAATTTCAGTACATTTTTTGGTGGAATTTCAGAGGTAAAAGCGTAATCAGTCATGCTTTCCTGTGTTGTTGTTTACTATATTACAAATGTACCTTATTTTCTTTCAAAACAACGGATATTGTACATTACTAAACAAAGCTGGCATAAACTTTTCTTTTTCTAGTCATGTATTGGCAAAAAAGTTCTGTAAAAACCAGTGTCCTGTACCAAACTGAATTCAACCGTGCACCCTTAATGTAGCACTTGGTTAATTTGTATCAAATCACTTAAATGAAGACTTGCGTTTGCATGTTTACACATATCGTACATTATAACATTGTATTTTTTTTCTTTTTAACACTGGCATTCTTTATCTTGTTCTATAAGTAATGTTTAAATAAACTAAATTGTGCATTAAAATGGCTGTATTTATTGCAATATCATTTTATAGTTACGTAAGTAGTGCCTTCTTTCGAATCTACGCAATGCCAGTTTACATGTAACAAGTACCGGTAGGTATATTACGTACCTTATAGAACCTGTCCTTTAATATTAATTACTTTTATTAGAACTTCTCTTTTCATTTCAACACGTACTTTAACTCTAAAGAACTACGAACGATAGTATTGTTCTACCGCCTACCTCTAAATCAATTCTCAAAAATTAACTTATTCGAATGATTTTCAAAATTTTTATAGATATTTATATGAATTTTCATAAAACGTTACTTATTTGGGATACCAAAGAGAGATAACTCTATAATTTTGGTAAAACTTGTGTTTTCATTGTAGAAATCAACGGAAAACAGAAAATATTTTTAAAACATCTCCCCCCCCCCCCTGTGAAACAAAAATTCCTTTTTACGGGTAATATGGACTGTCATTTTACAAATTTATGCCAAAGCTTTTTGTGTTTCACGGGGGGAGGGGGGGGGCATATGTTTATATGTAAAAAAACGAAAAAAAATACTGATTTTTCACCAATTTTAAAGTTATTTACAACTAAATATTGTATTTTATTAATTCAAATATGTTTTATTTATTTGTGTAAAACATGCATAAGAAAAGATATGAGATAAATTTTATCATATATTTAAGACTATTTCAAAATATGGTGATTCTTGCAAGTTCGA